CAGCGGGGCTGGATGTGAGAGGGAGAACCAAAGTGGACAGTGGGACGTCTCTCGAGACGCAAACAGATCCACTTCCATCGGTCCGAACCTCTCCCATATCGACTTCACCACATCCGGATGAAGTCTCCATTCCCCGGGCCTCAGCCCCTGCCTCGACAGGATGTCTGCTCCCCGATTCTGAACCCCTGGGATATACATTGCCCTTATTGACAATATCTTTCCCTGGGACCAAAGGATAATCTGATGCGCCAGTTTGCACAGAGGGCGCGATCTGAGTCCCCCCTGTCGGTTCAGATAGGCCACCACTGACGTATTGTCTGTCCGTATAAGGACGTGGCGACCCTCGATGTCTGGGAGGAAGCTCCTCAAAGCCTTGAATACCGCCATCATCTCCAGGCAATTTATATGCCAAGTGCGATGATGGTCCTGCCACAGACCCCTGGTAAAGCGGCCGTCCATGACCGCGCCCCAGCCCGTAAGGGAGGCGTCTGTCGAAACGGTTTCCCGGCGACATGACACCCCCAACACTGGCCCTTGGGATAGGAACCAAGGCTTCTTCCATATTTGCAGAGACTGAAGGCACTTGCGCGTTACTCTGATCATACGGAACGGATTTCCTTTGGGTGAGAACCCCTTGGTCTTCAACCACCACTGGAGGGGCCTCATGTGAAGGAGGCCCAGAGGAATAATGTTGGATGCCGCTGCCATGAGGCCCAGCATCCTTTGAAAGTGTTTCACAGTGACGGCCTGACCTAGCCTCACCCTGGACACCATCGCCAGAATTGACTCGATACGTGCGGGAGACATACGTGCCTGCATTGTAATCGAGTTCCACACGACTCCCAAAAAGGTCGTGCCCTGGGACGGTTCTAGCACACTCTTCTTCAAATTGAGTCTTAACCCCAATTTTTGAATATGGCCAAGAACGACATCTCGATGCCGAACTGCCATCTCCCGAGACTGGGCCAAAATAAGCCAGTCGTCGAGATAATTCAATACGCGAATCCCCTGAAGTCTCAGTGGAGCAAGGGCCACGTCCATACACTTGGTAAATGTGCGGGGAGAGAGTGCTAGGCCGAACGGAAGAACCCGATATTGGTATGCTTCGCCCCCGAAAGCGAACCTCAGGTACCTCCTGTGACAAGGAAGGATGGAGATGTGAAAATAGGCGTCTTTCAGATCTATCGTGACAAACCAGTCCTCGGATCTGATTTGACTCACGATTGTTGGAATGGTCAACATTCTGAATTTGAACCTTCTCAGAGACCGGTTCAACACCCTGAGATCCAAAATTGGCCTTAACCCCCCATCCTTCTTTGGAACTATAAAGTACCGGCTGTAAAACCCGGACTCCCTGTCTACCGGAAGAACACGTTCTATGGCTCCTTTCGACAGCAAAGTCTGTACTTCTTGTTCCAACACCTGAGCCTGCTCTGGGACCACCGCAGTGAGCACCACCCCAGAGAACTTGGGGGGGCGGTGCGCGAACTGCAGTCTGTACCCAACTCGTATTATCTGCAGGACCCATGGAGATATGTTGGGAAGATGATACCATCCCTCTACAAAATCTGCTAAGTGTCTTTTCGCTGGAAATCGATGCGGCCCGAAGCGCTGTTAACGGCGGACCTGCATCTTTTCCTAGAGGGCCCCGTTGTGAGAACAACCTCGGTTGTCTCACTGCGGAGAGGGCAGCCCTCTGAAGTCCTGCCTTGGCTAGGACCTCTTTTCCGAAGTCCTCTTAGCCTGAATGACGTCCCTCAGGTCGCCCCTCTGGCTGGAGGACTTCGGTTTTTGGGAGCGTTTCCTCTGTTGCCAAGACCCCGGAGGGGGGGCTCTAGAGGAAACGCTCTCCTTCTGCTCTGCCCTGTGGGAGGAGCTGGCTGATGGCTGGGGCTGATTGCTTTGCCCCCCCCTACTAGATTTGGCCTTCGCTTTCCGGGGGAGGTACTGCTGGAACGCCGCAGATTGTTTTCTCGACTCCTGAAACCTGTCGACAACCGAATTAACGGCGTCGCCGAACAGGCCAGAAGCCGAAAGCGGCGCATCCAGCAGGAAGGACCTATCCTTTTCTTTAATACCAGATAAGTTCAGCCACAGATGCCTCTCCGTGGCCACCATGGCCGCCATAGAGCGGCCAATAGCGCTGGCCGCTTCCCTAGTGGCCCGGAGAGACAAATCTGCGGCCTTCCTCAACTCCGCGACATCTTCAGGAGTAGGCCCCTCCCCCTCATCCAAATCTTTCAGGAGGTCGGCCTGGTATGCCTGCAAAATCGCCATTGAGTGCAGACACGAACCAGCCCGACCCGCCGCCATGTAAGCCCTGCCCACCAATGCAGATGTCTCTCTGCAGGGCTTACTAGGCAACACCGGGGTCTTTAGGGAAGACGCCGATTCGGGAGAGAGATAGCTCGCTAAAGCCTCCTCCACCTTCGGCATCTTCCCATATCCCATATCTCGAGCCCCCATAACATTGCTGTAATCTATTACATTGGGACTCGAAATACGGGACGAATGCGGTCTTTCCCACGTTCTCGAGATCTCTTTATGGAGATCAGGGAAAAACGGCAGACCCCGGCGGTGAGGCTGTGACCTGCGCTGCAGGTAACGCTCGTCCATTTTACTGGTGACTTGCGTTTCCTGCTCATGTTGTGGCCAGCTGATGTTTAGTCTGGCCACAGCGCGTGTCACAACCTCCACCAGCTCCTCATAACCCAGGCCGCGTGATGGCGTGCTGAGATCACGGTCGTCCGCATCGATGCTGAGCACGTCCCCTTCCTCAGAAGTAGACAGCTCAAGCACCGGGACCTGATCGCGGGTAGGAGAAACCGCAGCGCGGGCTCCCACACCACTCTCAGAGGCTGCGGGACCAGCCGATGGCGAGCGAGAAAATGCCTCAGCATTCTCACTCTCCTCCGCCAGATCCCGCTGCGAACCCCAGGATCTCAGTCGCCGCATCGCCTCGACATATGCGGGACCGGAACCCTGGGGAACGCGAGCCTGACCGTGCTCGTCAAAGCACGCCAGCCGGGAGCGCAGCACTCTAATAGGCAAAGCCTCACACATTTCACAAGCAGCCCCCTCGAGAGCTGCCCGTGCGTGCTGCACTCCCAAACAATACACACAGAGAGAGTGTGCGTCCCCACCCGTGATGAAACGAGGGCAGGGATGCACACACCTCTTGAATTGTTCACTGGCCATACTTTCTTTCAATAATAAGACAAACAACACCAAATAAGACAGACAGTTTCAACATAAAGCGCTTGCTGAAGAGCGAAAGCTAGTGTGTGTTGTGACAGCGTCACTTTTATACTTCCGGGTATGCCGTCACATGTTACGTTACGACGCAACACCAATCAGGATTGGATTAGTTTCATTCATACTTCAGAGGCGCACGCTTAGGGAGCGTCCCCAAAGAGTCGATTTTATCGACGCAGTGTTGAGTTCCCTCGATAGGGAACTAAAAAAATAGAATATCATGCAAACGTTAATTTATTTCAGTAATTCAACTTAAAAGGTGAAACTAATATATTATATAGATTACATGCAAAGTGAGATATTTCAAGTCTTTATTTGTTATAATTTCGATTATTATGGCTTGAAAACCTTTTCAAGAAGTGAAGAGCACTTTTTTATAAGTAGTCAATCAAGATGATGAAATGAAGTTTCTAGATCGATATAGGCTATTGGAGGCTCACTGCCTTTTTTATGTATATATTTGCCAAATATCAACTTTTAAGGCGAGACACTAGGTGAATAGGGTAAGATGTGTTCAGATCTGTCTACCGAGAATATATGCAAAGTTGAGCATATTTAATGAGATAATGCCCAATTTGAATAATTAAATATACAAATTTGAAAAACTTATAATACATTTTTATATAGGCTAGCCTACTTGCGTAAGTAATCAACTGAGGAAGTTTCATGGTGATATCTAGCCTATTATTTAAAATTTTTACCCTATTCACTAGTGTCTCGCCTTAAAAGTTGTTTTTTTGCAAATAAATAAGGCAGTGAGCCTCTAATATATCTTTGCTCTGACCCTTGACTATCGATCTAGAAACTTAATTTCCTCATCTTGATTGCCTTAAAAAAAAATAGGGGAAAATGGTCCAATGACTGAGCAAGATAGGCAATTTGGCTACCATTTTGATATGCAAATTAGAAGGTAAAAAAAAAATCAAAATTTCGCTTGGGTACCATTTTTTTGGACTCAGCACCCTTGAAATATGTAAGGTAGGCCGCTTCCGACTTGTACCTAGAAATGCTCCTCACTTTCACTTTTTGGGTACATCCCAAAGATTAATATTCTAATTTAGAATTTGGAGTTTCCATAAAGGTGTAAGTCATAATCATAATAACAAATAAAGGCTTGAAATATCTCACTTTGCATGTCTATATACTCATACATTATGAGTCTATATACCACCTTTTAAGTTTAATTACAGAAATTCTTTTGCATGATATTCTATATTCTAATTTTTGAGTTTCTCCTGAATGTATGTGTTTGTGTGTATACACACAGCAGACTTACCTCTGTTAAGACAGTTTTCTAGCATCCCACCACCACCACCCCATGTCCTCACTTCTATTTCTATCCCAGCTGGGATGGGGGAGTACGGGGCAAAAAACAGCACGCCAAATACACACAACCTTTACTTTATTTTTAATATATAAGGGTGAAATCATAAAATGCAAGTTATCAGTAAAATATTTTTAGTCAGATATCGGATTAAAATGTTATATAATTTTTTATTTAGATTTGACTTTTACATTTGTTATTAAGAGATATTTACTTTCTTGGCATTGAAAATATTAGTTTTTATTGATATGTTATTCCCAATAGCCATCAATTATTCCCCAACATAGCTAAACCTTAGTCAACTATTGGTGGCAAGTCATTTTCAAAGATGCTATAATTTTGCATGCATACAATACATATTTTCTGCAGAAGCTTTTTTTTTTTTTGTAAAAATCCACATCAATAAAAAGCAAAAGTGAAGTTGTTTGATCAGCATTTAATTTTATTTCATGTCATAAATGAGAACAATGTTACTTACAACAGGACTTTAAAATTTTCAAAGAGTGAAAATGTGCTTTGGTTTTCATAAACAAGTTGCAAATACTTTAGTATCATTATTTTTGAACAAAGTACTTGACATTTCAAAAGAAAACCACATCAAAACCCTACACATACACACAAACCTGCTAATGGAAAGAGCTGCCAAACCTTCAGAAGGCATATTGTGTCAGTTATAGTGAATATATAGAAACGTGTCTAAATCAAATTAGCTGCAAAAACATTGGTTATATGGTGCTTTATGGTTCAAAAAGTTAATTGGGATGCGTCCCTAAAATGTTCCCTGAGGTTTGCAGAGGATGCAAATGAAAGTGTTGTCACAGTTTTAAAGTTCAGTTTCAAGCCCCATTAAGTAATAAAAAGTTCCTGAATATTATAGAATTATATTGATTTACAGACAATGTCAAATAATCTTATAAAGCAAAGAGAGAAAAAAGCAAGCACAACTGAACAAAGAGTGCCTGCAATGGTAATTCAGCAAATTAAATAATTTGACTAGTTGATCTATTATTTAAAGTACCCTTGTTGATATTACCAGAACAGGCAACGAACTACAAAACAACCTCAGAATTGGGTATTGTTTAAAAAGCCATCCAGCATGAAAAAACCCAACCAGAGGTAGTTGACGTTAGACGTTAAACCGCAAGAAAATCATTTAATATCTGAACAAGTAAACGTTTCAGTAATGTATCAAATGATAACATGTCATTTACATTAAGATACCCAAAGATATTTACAGTAGGTTTTGATTTGAAGCTTTTGGTCTCATTTCAACACTAAATGCAAGAACGCAATCTGCTAAACCTAACATTTTTTTAAATCATAAGAACAATGCACATGCCACAAGAAAATATGGACAACATGCTGTATACATTAAGCCATTGGTTGAAGCATTGGAAAATAATCATAATATTAATAAAAAAAATCCCAAAGGAAAACCCCTGAAAAAAAATATTAATAAAAAGAAAAAGATTTTATAATATAAACCTGAATTGAAAGAAGCATAAATTAGACTTAAATATTTAGCAAGAATATAGATTTGGTTATATAGTTTTACAATATTTCTTCAGCATTTCAACATTCAATATTTCTTTGGAACTGTACATCAAAACACCCTAATTGCTCAAGCAATATGACTTCACAAGCTCAGATACAGTGAAGTATTACCTGACCCCCTGAAAAGTGTACATTAAAACAGGCAGTGTGTTTTCCCCTGTTCTGGATCAGATGTCAGTTTAAGCTCAATTCAACTAGACAGAGTGACTGTATTATAGAAGACATCATGTAGGTTTTCTAATCCAACATGTAGTCTTAATCTCATACAGGCTAATCAGAGGGTTTGGTTTAATCTGAGGTAGCAAGTTTGTGTATTCAAGTAAACAACCAGATAGCTTTATTATAGCGGTCAGTTTCTGAAGCCTAAACCATTTCACAATTCCTAATTACATTCGAGAGGTATAGCAAGTCACGGCTGTAAAATAACTGGCATCACCAGAAACATTCGGTTGTTTCAGTTCAGAGATAATTACTAGCAATTTGAGGTAATTTTCGTTTTAATAGATCAAACTACATCTAAACTACAAGTGGATAAATTTAACATTTGTTTAGCTACACACTAACAATAAACAATTCATGCACAAGAAGAAAATTTATAGAAATTCATAGAAAGAGGTATAACAGCAGGTATTGGCTGAAGTTGGCATTTATATACTGGTCAGGAAATGGCATTGCCATTCAAAACAAAGATCACGATAATCCTATGTAGCATTCTAGAGGATTTGGGAGCAAAACTGGACTCTAGATTATCTAGATTAAAAAAAAGTGAACTGTAGAGAAACCTTACGGAACCCAAGTTTAGACAAAGGTGGTTTTCTTTTTGAGAATAGAAAAATAACATACTACAAATAATCCTCTAGATGTTTAGAAGTTTCATTTGCAGATTATTCTAGAATTTGTGGATGAAACGAACCCTAGAAAAGCTCAAAAAGGAAATCGGTGTAGAGAAGAGTTAAAGAGTATTAGAATCTTAAAGGACTCAATATCCGTACTGAATACGAGATTAGCTCAAAAGGTAAACTAAATTAATCTAAATAATCTCTAGTGTTCTAGAGGGTTTGATTTGCTACAGAGGTTTTGGCCACAAATTCTCAGAAATGTATAAAAAACGCTCTTGATCAGGGGTGCCGAACTCAAACTCATGGAGGGCCACAGTTTTGCAGGTTTCTCAAATCCGGCTCTGGAGGAGTTTAGGTCCATCCCTAATCAAACACACCTGAAACAGATTATAAATAGATTGAAGCAGGGTTGAAACCCTTGTTTACAGGAAGGCAGCCCTCCAGTCCTAAATCTCGTCAGACCGGTCAGTCCAAATCCGATTTTTAAGCATATTCAATTTAATCTGATCATATGTTTCTGATCATAAAGCAGATGTGAATGGGAAAAAGCTACATTCATATGTGGTTTGAAATCCTATTTAAATTGCATTTCTTCATTTATGTCACTTTCTAAGGCCACGTAAAACGTAAACATGCCAGACGTTGTTATAACAAACATTGTGAAAGCCACTGTAGAAACAAAGTTGTGTTGTTGCAAAGTGTCAAGCGTAAAATTACAATATAATGGAGACATGTTGAATTCTAAGCCTGGCGGAGATGGCAGCACGGAATAAAGCCGCTCATACCAGCCTCCTATGTTTCTGCCGCTGCCTCAGATGTAGTAGTCCAGCGCGGTGGCTACACATTGTAAGATGTAAATAAGAGAACATCTGTATTGCAAACCCCCCAAGTGTTGTTTTTGGTGCAATGCAACGTCATTGCCATAGAAACCAATGGAGATATTCTATAAAAGAAAGAGCACCACCGGACACACAAATCAGGTACGAACAGTTACGATACACAGTGTGGACAGTCAATAATCTAGATCAGATTCCAATAGGATGCACAAATAATCAGATTTGGACTGACCGTGTGAACATAGCTCAATAGCTCTGGAACAATCTTTGTAAAATTTAAGAATTGAATTTGTGGCTGAAACTGAACCCTAAATTAGATCCAAAAGTAAACTTTGCAAAAGACATATTTTAGATTAGACTACAAAGGTTTCCTTTTTGAGATAGAATTCTTGTGGATGAAGATAAAACTGTAAAGAAGATCTAGATGAATCTTTGTAGTGTTCAGGAGAACTGAACCCTAGTTAAAAGAACCTAAACTAAAGCACTATGGAGAACTGTTGGTATCTGCATTTTTCAAGTTTAGGGCTCTTTGACCTGTTCTAAGATGCTGAGGTATGCATCCGCATGTGACTAATGAGGTTTCTTTGTTGCGTAAACTTCCCACCACAGACCTGGCACTCATAAGGTTTCTCCCCTGAATGGACACGCATGTGCTCAGTGAGACGGTACTGCCTGGTGAAGCGCATACCACACTCCTCACAAGCAAACGGCTTTAGGCCGAGGTGGCTGCGCATGTGGCGGGTCATAGTGCCGCGCTGTGTGAACATCTTGCCGCAAATGTTGCAAGGGAATGGACGCAAGGTGTCAACATCTTTGAGGGACTTTCTGGGACTTTGCTCCAGGCTTTCAGCAGCTTCTTGCGAGACTCTGGTGACTCCAGCGTCTCCATCACGTTCCTCTTCCTCCTCATCCTCCACTTTCACATCCAGGTCTCCATCCAAATGACTTTCCACATGTGACTTGAGACTCTCGGAGGAGGGAAAACCCTTTTCACATGGAATACAAACGTAAGGGTTGTCCCCTTCCGCTTCTTTGAGAAAGGTGTCCTTTTGATACACAAAATTGGTGCTGCCATTGTTTGGTTTTTGGCCATCAGTTTCGTCTGTTTTCCCTCCAATTCCTTTCTCTTTCTTTACAGACAACTGTAAAGTGAAAGTCTGATTCTGGCTTAGTTGACTTCCAACCCTGCTAAGAGGAACGTAACCACTGACCTTGGATTTTCTTCGGGATCCCTCCCTTTTTCTTTCCTGGGCTCCATCCAAAGGAATTATCCACTTTTCTTTCTTTGGAACACACTTCCCGTTTATTCCTAGCTGCATATTGTTGGAGATGGTTCTAGAAAGAAAAAACGAATCATTCGTCTCAGACTTTACATTCTTCTTAGTCAAATCCAACCCCAAGTCCTGCTTTTTCCTACATTTACTTTCAGAATTATGCCTTTTTTTGGGAGGAGTCATACACGTGTATGTTTCAGTGTCTGATGAGTGGTCTTCATACAGGCGAAATAAAGATTTGGAGCTCCCACATGCTACGCTATTGAGGGATCCATTTTGGTTCATCTTAGTGGAGCACAGGTTTGCGAGGTCATTGAGCTGGAGGAAGTTAGCTGTGGTGAGCAGAGAGCTCAAATCCAGAGCCTCAAAAATCTCATCTGACAACTTGCCAGTGTAAATGAAATCCAGAATTTGCTGGAAAACAGCTGGATCCACCATATCAGGGTCAAGGTGGATGAGGTTATCATGAAGGACAAGGGACTTGAAGTAGTGGCTGGTGGCGGCGAGGACACTTTTGTGGGCTCGGAAGAGTGTGTTCTCGACCATGATGATGACATCGCACAGGAAGCCCTTTGAGCGTTGTTGATTGAGCTGGAGAAGCAGTTGACTGGCGTAGTTGGGGAGCTCCATCGCCTACCCTTGATGTTTTGCATTGGTGTCACTGTAAGAAAGGATGACTAAATGTTATTTTGGAGTGCCACAGACCCTCACGGATAATCAATAACATCTGCTTTGCCTTAAAGGTGCTCTACGAAGGATTTTTGGAAAAAATAAAGTATAGAAAAAGAAATAAAGAAAAAATAAAGTATAGTAAAAATAATGCCTTTCAATTATTACTTATGGTGCACTAGAAGTGGAGGTGTGTGTATGTCAACAAAGAAATTGTCATGTGCCTGTAATTTCTTCTTGAATTCCTGTGCTCAGGATGTTTCTGGACAACAATTTTTGGCCAGTGAGTGTGTAGCCCCACCTAATCACAAAACGCTGTGAAGGTGTGGGTGGGACTTTAACATTGTTGTCTGAAGCTTTGATAAGTTGTCACGTCTTGACACAAAAACAATCAGCTAACATTGTTATTGCCTGTTCTGTCACTCAAGTCAGATTATTATGACAATTATTAGCGAGCTAAAGAAGATGGCTAAAACTCGATCACAAATTACAGCCAGTCATCTAAAGATTAGCATAACTATTCTTTTATTTACAAATTATTTACGCATGAAAAAAAAAAATTGTTAAATAGCTCATTACTCATCTTCCCTGCGGCGGGTAGTCTCCCGAGTCGGTTGAGCTGCGTGTGCAATTGATATATCAGGGGAGAGGGGCTTGTATGGGATGAATTTAGTCTCAAAATGATTAACACATGCATGCACAATTATCCGTGAACTTGATAAATGTGTAGATGTGTGCAAAAATTCAGAATTAAATGAATCAGATTTTGTGCATGCTACTAGAAAGATGTGCATTTGTGGATCAGGTCACGCATGCATTCATTGACTCGTTTCTGAGTCGGTCCTATTTGATTCATTTGGATTTTGAGACCTTTATTCCACAGGTTGAGCCTTTCACGATCCACACACACACTTTTCTGAGAAAAGCTGCTGCCTCTAGATGTCAGTAGCCTGGTAAAACAGACAACTGCATGCAATCAAGTGTTCTTCCAATGCTTAATGTCATCAAATGTTTCCTCGTTATAAAGAAAACGCTTAACAAAATTAATTAAGACAAAAGGCTAACATTAAAAGACCAAACTAGGCTAACTATAGGCCTACCTTTTTAATAAAGCATACTTTGTACAAGAAAGCAGATTAAATCAGATTATGAACACAACACGCAAAGTTAGGCATTTCTCTCCCAAAGAAAACCATTATAAAAATGCTTATTGCATTACAGTATATATATATATATATATATATATACACGCAAGGTTAGGCATTTCTCTCCCAAAGAAAACCATTATAAAAATGCTTAATGCATTACAGTATATATATATATCATATAGTATATAGTGATATATATATATATATCATATAGTATATATATGTCCAATAAGGTGTACAGGCTAGTGAGTTTTAGCACATCCCCATTTTGCTGCATTAAGGCACATTAAAGAGCCCCTATCATGGATTCTTGAAAATGACTGTTTATATGGTGTGGAATATAGCTCTAAGGGAATGAAAACATCCTGCAAAGATTTATCTGAAAGTGCACCGTATAGTTATTGTCTTTCAAAAGTGAGAGTAGACTCTGAGTCTATGAATTTGAGTCTATTGTTTTTGAAACGAGTCATTAGCTGTTACATTGTGACGTAGAGACATGCTGGCCACGCCCAGTTACTGCGCGCAGGCGGAAGTGTAAACTTGGAAGTCTACACATTCAAATACTTGATCATAGCATCATGTCGAGAAGATGCTGTGTTCTACAATGCAAAGATAGTTCAGCCACTTTGTTTTCATTTACCAGGGACGAGCATGTGAAGAATCGGTGGTTAGAGTTCATATTTGCAAATGCAACAATACCACAACAGCATAGCACGTTTGTTTTTTCATCATTTTAATTCCGAATTGTTCAATAACATAAATGTATTCAATTGTGGATTCGCAAGCGGTTGTTCCTGAAGGAGGGCTCAGTAACTTGCTTACCCAGTGTATATGGATCAGCTTCCTCTTATGAATCACAACCTGTAAGTATTATTAATAATTGTTGCTTTTATGGGTTTTGAACGGTTTTGTAGCGTCGGGCGTGAGGAGGGAAGGCGCGATAAGTAGGTGTGTGCGCGCGTGTGTAAGTTACGCTCAGCGCAGCTTCTAGGTCTCCAATGTCAATTTTTTTTTTAAATATGTGAAATATTTGTCTCTGTTATTGGAGCTGTCATAAAGAATAGATCGTCTTGTAGTACTGCAGTGCTTTATCAATATGTTTATGCGTTATGCTAACAAACAATAACTGACTGGGTCTGTCATCTGACCAATCACCGCCGATTAGCGTCATGCAAAGGAGTGGTTTGGAAAAATGAGTCGTTGTACGAATCATTTGGGAGTCGGTGAGCAAATCAGTTAAAAATAAATGCATATAATAAGACAAATAAAGTGTTTTTTTATCCTTGCATGCATGTTAAACTGTTTTTGGGAACTCCTAAAACAAAAATAGGAACATTTCAAATGCTATGATATGGGCTCTTTAAGCGTTTTCTTTATGATAGGGTCTATGGGAGTAAAACTATATAGGCCTAAAAATAAGAGCCTATAGAATATGTATGTGATGCACCAAGTTTCACATTAAGGGCATTTTTATCCCATAGAGCCTGTTAAAAAGAAAACGCTTAACATTTTGCAGCTGTGTTTAACTTTGCATTGGTAGGGGAAAGCAACCGGGAGCGCAGTAAAGTAAGTTTTAGGTTTGATATTCCACTCAAAATCCAATCATTCATTCAAATTAACAATATTTACAAGGTTATAGTAAACGCCTGCTGGGCAGACTGACAAACTGTATATTATGAACTATTCATCCAATATCTCGCTTTTAGAGTACAAAACTTTTTTTTTTTCTTGTTATTACTGTAACTCACCAACACTTTTTTTTTTCATGTTCCAAAGGTGGTAATATGTTCCTAATGACCATTCTATTGGCACAATTTCAACTGTAGTAAGTCAGTCTGGGCACTAGTACTACAACCATTTGAACAAGAAAAAAAAAAAAAGAAAGAACACCTTTTGGTGAATTACAGTAATTTTGCTGAAAAAATAATTGTGTACATGTACATACATGAAGGGAAGTATGGTAAACATGTCACCTGTGTAAGTCAGTCTAACCAATAGGAACCTACTATAAGCTGGAATTTAAGTAATTTTTATTCCTATAAATTTTATGTTTTAAAGCAGTCTTAAAGCTGTTTAATTGGCAGATGTGCGTTATGGCATCAAAACATTGTCATGTATAAATATGCAGCTATAACATATGTAGGTCATTTTGAAATAATATTTCATGTCGATATACAATTGTTGCATATTATTCAAACAAATCGGCTATCGGTATGTTTGTAAGACTGCCGACTCCATAGAATAGTGGCAAGGGAAAATAAATGTCCGGCGAAAATAAGTGTATCGACTTTTAACATTTAAACAGACATTCCAAAGTTTGTATATTATGAATAGCTTAATATGCTATACATATATGAACAGTCAGATAAAAATAAGCCTAGAATATGAACGCATCTGCGAAATTTCACATTAAGCGTTTTGTTTTTAACAGACTCTACGGGAGGAAAATGCCCTTAACGTGAAACTTTGCACTTCACTTTCACATTCTATATGCTCTTGTCTATGCCTATATCGTTTTACTCTCATAGAACCTGTTATTAAGAAAATGCTTAACGTGGCTTAATGCAGTAAGAGGGTGATATTGAAACTCAGTACATGAACATGCAGCACGTTATTGTATAGCGTGTTTATAATGGTTTTCAATGGGAGAGAAATGCCTAACCTCATATGTTGTGTTAATAATCTGATTTAATCTGCTTGCCTATACAATGCTTTATTAATAAGGTAGGCCTATAGTCTTGCAGAGTTTGGTCTTATAATGTAAACCTTCCATTACATTTAGTATTTTCTTTATAATGAGGAAACATATGTTTTTCTGCTAGTTTGAAAAAGGTAAGCTAAGTTTTATTAATAGGTTGTGTACTAAATGTGTTGCTTCAATATCACTTTCTTAAGCCACATTAAGCGTCTTACATGAGGAAGAATGCTTGATTACGTGCCATCTAGCGATAGCAGGTTTTCTCAGACAGTGTGTGTGGATCAATGAATCACCTGATCCACATCTTTTTTATTGCATGTGCAAATTAGAACACACATTCTAATATAATATTATTTTTTTTTTATTATTAAAAAAAGAAAACATTTGTATTCACAAAAATCTCTCTATTTGTACAAATTGCTACACATTTATTTAATTCTAAATAATCGTGTTAATCATTTTGAGACCAAATTTTTCCCATAGGGCTTGCGCTTCAGTCAGGGGCCCATTCTTTGTACCTCGATTAATACATCCGAGATTATTTGACAGATGCCAGATCTTCTAATCATGATAACTGATCTCTGGCTAATTTGTTTCAAAACGAATTTGCAGATTCTGGATTAGCCTAAATTGTCTGAGATTACAGCATGTTCTTGTGTTCATAGGAAATGGCAGATATATTGATTCTCGAAACCATGATCAGCAACCTGCTGTGTCATTTTTTATGATGGACTACACAACATTATAATATTATTTGTAAATTTATTACAGTAAAATATATTAATATTATAATATGGTTTGTTAGGGTACTCTTGAAAGAATAGCAGTGGCTGGGACCGCCTTTAACTATCACCTCCCCGTAAAAATCATGTCATGATCATGTCAAATCGCCAACAATGAAACCCAGCTAATTGAGTAATCCACATACGAAGAACGGACCACAAGTTTCAATTAGGGATGGGACGGTATGAAAATTTCATATCACGATTATAGTGTCCAAAATAATCGTGATTATCAATATTATCACGGTTTTTGGTAAAAATTTATGAAAGTGCTCAAAAAGAACTGATGCTCACACTGAAAACATTTCATTTTATAATTGAAAATCAACAAACAACAAATAAAACAAGTCTCTCTATGCAGTTTTTTAAGCAAGATTCTATTCTATGGCATTTGCTTCTTTATAATGCCCGTCGTCAATAGCAACGCATTATTACACAGCGCACATCCATAACATTCACAACGGACGCGCGCTCTTGTTTCATTCAAATACAACTTGCCGTCTTGCGTCTCCGGTTTTTGATTGTATCGCAAAAATGAAATCAGAGTTGATTTATTGCTTACAGAGTTTGATAATATTGGTGTGATATATCTTGTCTGGACGATTGTTTTACAAAATGAATTCATAAACAGGTAAGATTTAAAACATTAGCTAATCTCATTATCAATTCAATATGTCCCCGTAATTATGTGGTAAAAATAAAATCGGTTTAATACGTGATGTATCTATACTTTACTATCCCTTAAAATATCACTCTTAATAATAGTCTTGTTTGAAGTTGTTCGTTCGTCTTTGGCTCAAATCCACTTGCTATGAACTTTTCTTCGCGGGAGCTTCACGTCTATTTCAAGTGAGTGACATAAAATGTTTCAACTCAAAACAACATTTCATGCCCAATTGTTTCCCAGACGTAGTTTTGGTATTGAGGTCAAAGTTAACTTGCCTTGCGTTCGGGTGATGATCACACAAGACGACTCGGCAGATTTGAAGTGTTTCTATTGCAGTGACTTTTTGTTCGGCCTACAGGGTGACCATCCTCGATAAAGTTTCCCTCAGGACTTTTGTAAAACCCAAAAATATGACCACACCTCAGATTTGGTCCTCTTAAAAGGCTGAAAAATCTCCTGAGCACGGTCACTGCCTTCCGCCATTCCTTCTCGAATAGTAATTTAAAAAAATATTGCGTGCTGCGCGCCTGCGTCAGACTGGCCGACAGGATTCAGTGAGTTATTAAAATCGCGTAATCAAACACGGTTTTAATGATAATTAAATTTTAAACGATAATACTAACCGTCAGTACATTTTATCACGGTTTATAGTGAAACCGGTTATCGTCCCATCCCTAGTTTCAATGTTATGAAAACCCTAGTGTACTACCATTAACTAAAACAAATTGAAAAAAAAAAAAAACTAGACAACCAAGGCTCCACAAATGGCAACAAAAACAAACTGCGGCAACCCGCTCCACGAAACATAACAAACTGTTCCAGCCAGTAACTGACAAGAAGGCCCTAGGGGTGGAGTTTGGGGTGTCAGTGCGCAGATGAGGAGGAGGGAGGGTGTCTCTAGCCTCTATCCTTTAAGTCAGTCAACAAGTCACCTTAATTTATATAGTGCTTTTAACAATATAGATAGTTTCAAAGCAGCTTTACAGTGATTGTTTTGGCTTTACACCAGCTATCACTTGAATTTTACAAGTATGGAGCACTGAGAAGTGCTGATTATATATTTATGCTTGAAAACAAGCAACACATGTGTTACTGCAGAGTTTATCTACGGTTCTTAATGCAATTGTTTTAATTCAGTTATCTTTTAAGGCTGCAAGTAAGGTATAAATGTATCAACAGACTGCTAATAAGTCGCTTTGGATAAAATCGTCTGCTAAATGGTTAAATGTAAATGCTATCGTACAGAAGCCAAAATTGTGGTATCGAGCCAACCTTAAATGGAAGTAGCGACATAACAAAAAAAGAAAAGTTTTCACAATAAAATCATTTGCATTTTAGGAAAAAAGTCAATTTCACGCTAAGTTTAAGTTCTTTCATTATACAAATTACTCCCATGAATCACTGGGATGACATAAATGGACTAAAATTAATGGTTCAATAAAAAATTACTGATGTTAAGTATAACTAATTTAAAGAAGATTGACTGCAAAATATTCACATACACCAAATAAATAGTTTGAGAGTGTAGTGACCAACTATGGACTACAATGTTTCATGGGAGTTTGCCAACAATTTATCTACTGAAAAACAAAAAACAAATGAGATGTGTACAGTTGTGGTCATGAAGTGTTTTGAAGGCATTAAGATCGAGAAGAGAAAAATATATTCATGTCTCTTACCAAAAACACCCATGGTACACATTATTTTGCCATAACAGTCACTCAAGCTATTGTATCAAGCTAAAAACGAAAAAGAAATGTATAAAGCTTAGACTATTTGAAGAAATACAATTATTTATTATGATTTTACACTGCACAAACTACAGCATTTTACTTAGCAAAAGCTTTGTTCATTTTCAAAGGGACATTGGCATATTAGTCATAATTAAAGTATTTTAGAGTCATTGCAAAACATTTTGAGCCATGTTTGGTGTTGTATTGATCCACAAACACGAATCTAACGTCTAACGTTAAAAACTGAGGGTTAAAGATAACATGTCCAAACGCGCATGTGCTAATTAATTGGGGTTGGTATTTGAATAAAATTTTGAAACTACGTGTTTTAAATCGAGTTTTGATTTCATTTCAAAATATTATTTAGAAAAAAACATCAACATACTCGTCGAAAATAATACGACCAAGCTCGCTAAAGCACACGGTGGGTCCTAGGTAAAAAAATGCACGTATCTGTTTCTTAATAAATGCGGAACTGCTGGTACCAATCCTTTACAGACGTGCTTACGTGCGCATATGACAAAATAATTATTTTATAATCTCTGCCACGCCTGAATACTATGGATGATAGTATAGATGTTAACAAAGAGACATACACTGAATAATTTTAAGCTCGTTTAAAGTAAAAAAAAAAACAACAACAACAACAACAGGAAATGATACCTTGCAAGGCTGCTGTGGGCTAGGTAAGCGGATCGCGCTATGCATTTAATGCTGCTTGTGTTTTAATAATCAATATTAATTCTTAAGTTCAACACTGTGCGTTCGTTTAAATCATATATATATACGAAAGCAAACATATTTATTTTCAAATACCTTTTGAACAAGGGCAGGGGTCCTTACTTCTCCCGTCGTCATCAAAACGCCATCTTAGAAGCTTGTGACGTAGGCAGAGTGACCCCTGACCCAGTTCAGATCAGTCTCACCCCCCTACCTGTCCTTCTGGAGGCATTACCATAGTATTACCTCAGGTTATTCTCTCGGAGTGACACGGAAGGCTCGTAATACTATAAATACGTTCACCTGAGCCTAAATGATAATAAATAGTTGAATAGAATAAATATTTTCTTTTATTTTCTAATTGAAATACAATATAAAATATTCTAAAGTAGGCTATAAATAATATTCTAAAATAACACTCTAAAATGACAAAACACTGAAATGAAAGAAAAAACTATAAAAAAAATACATTTATTGAGTGCACCTGGTTGTACAATGGCTTTGCCATAAATTATATATATATAACTGCTTAATAATTTTTACTATATTATGCAAAAGCATTATCAGATATATTATGAATTTAATAACTAAAAACACTCACTTCACAATTTTCTTTGTAACAATTGTACATACAAAAGTGGTGAGCCACACATTTAAACAAGTTAGTCATAACTTTAATCTTAGATAACTTTAATATTGTCTTGTATGAAGATCTGGTCTGATAGTTGTCAAGGTTGTTAGGAAGAGAAGGTTATAGAACCGTGGCTTCCTGGATAGCTTCAATCCATCTATAAGAGAGGCAAAATGTATATACTGTAAGATGATTATAATATTTAAATGTAATATTATTATGTAATTATTACTACATGTGTAGTACCTTCATATTTTAAATATTTTACATCAATAAATTTACCTTTTAAAGATCTGACTGTCACTTGCTCTGAAAATGTAGTAGAGCTTGTTTTTGTGATAAAGTTTAAAACACAATGAAGATTCTGGTTTCTCTGTTTGGAGAGAGAATCCGAGAAGGGGTTGACTTTCCAGAGCTGCTACATCCTGCATGGATACAACAACAAAAATAATATATAAATAAAAAACTTCAACTGAAAATATTATAATATAGTATATAAAATACATTTATCAAGTGCAATGAACTGGTAACAGTGGATTCATTGGTTGATTAAATACAATAAAGCGTGGTCACTGGTCATAAAGCATTCACTTCACAATGTAAAAAAATGCAGTTTATATTGGTAGACGTGAGGAACTGTAAAAAAATAAATAAATAAATAAAAAGAAAAACTACATCTTTTGATGAGAAAAAAGTTAATTGAAACTAAGCTGAAAAACTGCTCGCTCATTTGCTGGTTTGATGACAGAAACGTCACATTAACAAATGATTGGCCAGATTTACACATCAATTACTATTTTTGTGTACTCAGAAACTTGACCCACCAAGTTACTTGGATAATTACCATCCACAGTGGATAGATACTATCCTTTCAAAACAGCAGAAGCACTAGAAATAGGAGAAGCCTTTACCTCCCTGATCATTTCAGTCCGTCTCAGATTTATTTTCTTAATACACCTTCTTGGTTTTATTGTGCTCAATTCACCTATGCATGCCATGCCAAATTCCAAACACTTGTCTTAGTAGCCTAGTCTTTCATCATAATAGTATTATCTCACACCACCTAATCCTTTTTAAGTTTTCAGGGTGACTTGTCATGTTAACAATTTTTTTAACTGGTTGGGATTTGCAGCAAAATGTTTACTTTATTTCATGAATGGAGATCTCCAAATAAACACAGAGTCATGGTCAGAATTATTGGTCTTTCTTAAATATGATCAAAGATAATATTTTTAAAAGTCACAAATATATAACCTTTCATTGAAGTAAAACAAATGAAAGTGTGTGTTGGGGGGGGGGGCAGTCTTACCTCACTGGCAGCATATGTGTACAGAACTTTGTTCAGGATGACAAACCAGAACCGTTTCCACGGTTTCCTGTTGGCTTTCCTGTTGGAGAGCTCCAAGTAGCCGCTCATTGATGACCCATCTGTGTTCGCTGAAACCTGAAATTAATGAATGGATTCAATATACTGAGACTACTGTTCAGAAGTTTGGGATTGCTAAGATTGCTAAGAAAATGTTTTTGAAAGAAGTATTTTTTTTAAATAGAAAAACTCTTTTTGCTGCATAATATGTTTGTGGAAACCTTAATTTTTTATGATTCAAAATCATTCATTTGAATATCGTTTGTAACATTATACATTTATTTATTGTCACATTTAATGCATCTTTGCTGAATAAAAGTATCCATTTCTCATCTTCAAATAGAAAAATTCCAAACGTTTGAAAATGAAATTAACTCATAAATGTAACTGGTAAATGGTTCGATACACTGTGAACTGGAAGCTGTCTTTATTATATTAGGTCAGATTAAGTCAGTTTTGATTGGCATCTAAAAGACAGTTGCAGTTCTTTGGATCATCACCTCTTTTAGGGCTGCTGGTATTTTCTTCTGCTTTCTGAATGGAAAGGAACCAGGGGACTTAGGTGAAAGAGCCACATTACTGGGTGCTTCGTCACCTAATATGAGTAAAATGACACACAGGCACTTATTTTATAGAAATCAATACAAATACATTAAAAATACATTAAAGCAGACAGTGTTTCTGTATGAGTGTGTTTGCTGGATGAACCTGAATTGCTCTGCTGCAATGCAGAAAAGCAGAGATCGCAAACTCGCACAAGGCGATTCTTCATATATTTCAGTGGCTGTTCATTAGTCGAACAGGCCTGACATACAACCTACAAGCCAAGAGAGAAGAAGGCATGTGCACATAAGCATCATTGAACAGAGAAGAAGGCATGCGCACATAAGCATTATTGAACAATTATTTGCCACAGAAAGACTGAAAGAAAACTTTACACGCAATATTTCCCTTACAATCACATATAACAAAACTTTACGTTATAATTTTTTCAAATATTTTTTTTTTTAATATAAATGAATATGAAGGGGCTATATGTATATAATTTTCATGTATTCATCGATTTTTTTATTGCCAGTGTTTAAACAGCTTGTAACAAAACTTAAAAAACAAGTCCTTCCCTGTTGTCTTTTAAAGCTCGTAGGCTGATTTTTATGTAAATAATTTGGGATGTTTTTGCCAGGAAAATCAAAAGGATGTGTTGTTTAGAACCTTTCTCTTCCTTTCAATGACATATTAAATGAATAAAATGTTCAGGATAATGCCGTAAGAGCTCTGCACTGTATTAGAACTCTTGTTCTCCATGCTGCTAAGACAAATTAACTAATAACTTTTTTTTCCCATGGAAATGAATCAACACTAAACTTATTTAAACTGGACAATGACTTTCTTCTAGAGCTTCTATACAACCAAAACAACCTTTGTTGCATTCATTTCTCACTGTACATCTACTTCCGCTTCACCCAACGGTTCTTTTTATCACTGCGCAACCCTACAGTTCCTATGGTGTGTTTATTTGAGCTTTCATGCATATTAGACATTGGAACATTGTTCCTGTTCATAGTCAGTGACTAATTTTTTCTAGCAGAAGGAAGGCTTTTAGTGAATTTACTTCATGAAAGTTGCACTAATAATTTTTTTTCCCTTTAATATTTTTATTGTGTAGTAACCGTTTTATAAAAGCAATAAGGTACTCGAGGCAAGTGCTGTATCGTGAATAAGTAACGGCTAAAGTGGTTACTCCGGTTCGCATCGTGCCTAACAACTCCCTTCAGCTGTTACTTTTTCACGATACAGCATAGCCTCTCATACCTTATAGACCATTTCACAAGATGTAAACAACACTGGTCCAGAAGCACTTCCTGTTTCAGTTTTTTAACACTACATAAAAGCTGGGATAAAATACAACCAACAGAACATATAAAACTGAATCAAAAAGTTAAACAAACATCTTTAAGATGTATTGTTTACATGTGAAATAAAGAAAACAGTTACAAACTGAAACAGGAAGTGCTTCTGGACCAGTGTTGTTTACATCTTTTGAAATGGTCTATAGCTTACATATAAATTACGGATTTAGGATGTTCTTTGACTGTATGATGCTGCAAAGGTATTTCCAACTTCTTTTTACTTCTAAGCAAAGAACGGAACAGAAATTCGCAGTCAGTATATCAGGGCCTTAATCACGCTCAGTCTTTGTAGTTCATTAACGGCCACCGGTGTCGCTAGTAGAGTTGTGCAAGAATGACGTCATAACCCGAAGACTAATTTTCCTATGTGTATTTAAACAAAGGACTTAAGGGTTTGAAACTACACAAGGGTGAGTAATTAATGACAGAAAAGTTTTGGGTGTGAACTAACCTTTAAATCCATGCTCAAGTTTAAGTTCATGTTTCAAGACAGATTTTTGTTTATTTTGTTCATGTTTGTCTACAAACCGAAAGGTTGGTGGTTCAATCCTCGGTTCCACCTGACCAAGTGTCGAGATGTCCATGAGCAAGACACCTAAACCCAGCTGCTCCCAACGAGCTGGCTGGCGCCTTGCATGGCTGACACCGCCGTCGGTGTATGAATGAGTGTATGAATGGGTGAATGTGAGGCAAATGTAAAGCTCTTTTGTGGCGATTAGGTCTATGAAAGCGCTATATAAATGCAGTCCATTTACCATTTGTATTCACATGCAACTCACCGTCAATGGACTTATGTTACAATGAGATTCTTCATGTTGAAAATTCACCCCAAAATGAAAATTCTGCGTGTTGTACATCACATGTAGGCTCACTATTGGCTGACGCTGGTCATGTGTGTGATGCATGTGACGTACAACTCAGAAGTGCTGCGCTGTTACACTACATGAACTAACTCAAGGCCCACAAAGAAGGAAATTAATAGTTGAATAAAGTTGTTATTTTTGTTTGTTTTGTTTTTTTGCACACAAAAAGTATTCTCGACGCTTGATAAACTTAAGGTTGAGCCACTGTAGTCACTTGGACTATTTTAACGATGTCTTTAATAACTTTTCTGGGCCGGGGCAAGTTTCAATTCCTTAGAAGCCTATGGAGGAGTGATCCAGCTTGTGTGTGTCAAAGAGTTTCTAATTTGCCCTTGTTTTGTTCTTTTTCTCATTAAAGCCATTGGTGTTCATTAGTGATTGTATATCAAGAGTAGGGCTGCACGA